CGGCCACACAGTTATTGTTGTGGGTCCTTTCTGGGTCTGTCCTCTGGCAAACCACATCAGTTATATCAGACCATATGGGCTCAGCGGTTTTAGTTGTGTTTGTTACTACCGATGCCAAGTTCTTGATATAAGTATAATCTATCATTTTGTGGAGCTCTTTTTTCCGTCGTCCTCTCAAAAGAGTGACAACTATTACAGAGGATATGTTTAGAACTCTTGAACAGTTGGGACCTTTTCAATTTTTCGTTTTTTATAATAGCAATACAGGCAATGAAAACGTAAATGGCATTGGCAGAGTATATATTCCATAATACTCTCGTTGATTTCAGACGCTGTGCCGTTAAGCAGAAGTAATACCCAGCAATTTCCAGACCAGTGGCCCTTGATATTGTGTGTGCTGATGACCTTTAATATATCTGTCATCTCGGATGTTTTTGCTGCTGAGAGACTGGCTTCTGTTGTTGGATCCACCTGTGAAAGTTGTTAATAAAGAAGTCTCAGCAGCATGTGAAATGGCCACGTTGATGTGCTGATGTTAAAAACATCACAAACGAGACCTCTGGAAATTGCTTTCAGTATGAATTACTCAGGCATATTGCGAGTGAGAAGAAGCTTAGTGTTAAGCTCTCACCATGTGAACCCTGAAGCTGGAACTGCACTAAAGCAAACTCTCTACTCTTTTCTCTTTTCTTTTTTTTTTGGTAGTAAGCCCTCACTAGAGGTCAAAAGTCCCACTAGATGCTGCCGGTACTGTATTTCATACATCGCAGGTGGGTTTTCCAAGGTTAGTCAGTCAATTAGAGCAGAGTATGTAGCATGAGGACGGGGTGTCCCTCAGGGATCCGTCTTAGGCCCTTTGAGGTTTTCTCAAGAGGCTCAGTTTTAATTTGTAACGCATGTGTCAAGACAGCAGAGGAGTGTAACTCCCTGTTGGAAGACCACAGATCAGAGCAGTTGCTCCCTTGTGATGTCGGAGAACTTCACACAGCTACTGTAATTCACCGAACAGAGAAAAAGGGGTAGTCTCCACATTACTCCAAAACCCTTGGTGATCTCTAATTCATTCTTCTGTTCCACGATTTAGTTAACTCCACGACTTTCACTTCCTCTTCAAGAGAAGGGAGGGCTTAGATGGAAGTGTGTGTTCCTCACCTAGGGAAGCATGGAAATACAATCAGCACAGGACACTTCACCCTGGGCCCATAAGTGGGGCATCCGGCTGGACTTGTACTTATGGTAAGAAACACAGCCCATAGGAACAAGAGGAAGAGTTGTCTGTGACGTTTGGGAAAGTGCAGCGCTGCAGAATGACAAAGCTGTCATCTGATGAGAAGACACACTTTCTTACACAGCTTCCCCCTTTTCCCTTTACTGCATGCATCACTGCTAACACTTAAAATGGATTGCCATGATGTCTTTGCTGTGGGAACAGCTTGAATAAATAAAGAATTAGTATTCTACCAGAAATAGTGAATCATTCTTACAGCACATGCCCTGCACATCTGGATGCTCTGTGAAGTGGTGCTGTAATATAAATGCATACGTATAGAACATATGGGTGAAATAGGTCAGTCAATTATAGGCCATTATTGAGCATACATAGCTTACCACACTTTTATGATGTTAATCAAAAGAGGTGGGGATGTTACTTGTCACAATCGCATTTGCTAAAATTGTGCCATATCGAAAGCAACGTTTTAGCAACGTTTGGTAAAGAAATATAGTATTATAGTGCTATAATTGTCATTCCACACCCATGAACCGATTCGTTTTTTTGGTTGTTTTTATTATTTTTACTTTTGTTTCTGAACCTTGGTGACATAGAACCAAGGCAGAATCCCAAACTGATCAAGAAGCTGCCTCATGTTTGCTAAGATGCATCTGGATGACCCTCAATAACTCTGAATCCACCTGGATGATGCAATGGCAGCCATTCTGTGCCAGACTGCACACCACACACCAGTTTTAGATGAAATGGGGGTGGTTGGGATGCCATGTTAGACAGAAGCCAGTGGGCAAGCTTGGCCAAGATGCAGGCACAACTACTCTTTTAGAAGGAAATACATTTTAAGTGACCAGAGAGTCAGGTATTTGGCTTAACATCTCATCCAAGGGTGGTGCTTACTGACTGTACAGTGTCCTGTATAGTGTTCAGGCAGGTAAGATGATGGTAAGTTGACCTTATCTGATTCAAAGTTCAAAACTATTCATAAGTAAATATAAGTAATTACTTTCTAACAGCACAGGTTATGATTCCAGCTACCATGCTTTCCATGTGATTTCTAATTTTAAGGGTTTTATTACTTTTAATACAGAGATTTTGTTTAATGTTTGGACCTAAATCTAATACCTGTATTCATCATCAGGGCTAAATTTGTGCCAGAACATGCCAGAATCAGATGAAATCTGATCCGGGAACTTCATTTTACCAATCCCCCTCCTCAACCGTCCTCCGCCCTAGTCCACTGTTCACTTTCTTCCGTGCTCACCAACCCACTTTCATCCGCGACACATCTCCACCATCCAACACCCCACCATGTCCGCAACCCCCCCACCCACACACACACACTTTCGTTCACGACAACACCCCCCTAAACCCCCGGTATCCACTTTCGTGTGCCACACCTCAGGTAACATGCCGGATTCATTACCCCGATCTGTTCTTCTGCTGTCTTGACACATGCGTTACAAATTAAAACTGAGCCTCATGAGAAAACCTCAAAGGGCCTAAGACGGATCCCTGAGGGACACCCCGTCCTCATGCTACATACTCTGCTCTAATTGACTGACTAACCTTGGAAAACCCACCTGCGATGTATGAAATACAGTACCGGGACCTTGCAATTCACCAATTAAGCACTGCTCATCATGTTTCTGGTTTGGTACCTTTTTCTCTAAAAACTGCTGTAATCACCTACAGTATATACTAAAGAAATCAGAGGCTGATTCATCAAACGTTGGCAATTACCGACCAATTTCTAATTTGCCAGTTACTTAAAAATCTTGGGAAAATGCATTGCAGCTCAGGCTCACAAACATCTCTCTACTAATGAATTGTTTAAGCAGTTCCAATCCAGTTTCTGTCCTTATCATAGTTCTGAGACAACCACGCTGTCAAAATTACTAATGATTGGCAGCCGATTCTGGTTTATTAACAACAGTGTTTATCTTTCTCAACCTAAGTGCGGGCTTTGATACGATCCACACAAAGTACTCATGGACAGGCTAGTCTCTAAAGCAGATTAGTGTGACCTGTAAGATAAGATCAAAACCAAGGGAATGGTGAGTCAGTGACCAATATAGAGCAGTTTTCTCTATATTTTTCCTTACAGAACATATCTTAAGCTGTACTTGTCCTCAAAACCCTTTAGTTCTTTCTTTCCTTCATCCTTAACCAGACGCCAAGCTTAAATTAAAATCTGTCCTAGCCATTTTTTAAACTAAGTAGTGACAAAGCCTAGTCAACCTTATAGTGATGCCCTACTCTTTAAATTTCTCACCAAATTGTCATATAACAATCACAGTGGAGCATTAATTATATCCTTACTTTCCATAGAGCAATTGTGGAGAGGGAAGTAGGTGAAGATGAAGCACAGAGTGAGTGAGGTGCGGGAGATGGAAATCCCAGAGTGGAGCTGGAGCGGAGCGGTTAGAAAATGCTTTGAGCGTGTGGTGGAAATTCTTGCCTCTCCGCTCCGTTCACATACTCTGGTGCCAAGAAACATCCAGGTGGTCTTGGACAAACACCAAAGGTGCCCAAACTTGTTTCTAAAGGGCCTCCATCCTGAATTAAGCCTCCACCTTAATCCTGCACACATGAACCAGCGAATCCTATTAGACACTTCCAAGGTCTGCTGTATCTGAAGTCATCTAAAATTTGTACTACATGTATTATGTTGTGATTTTCATATTACATAACATTATTAGTAGCATTGCTTCACTTCTATTCATCAATTCTCTCCCGTAGGCCAACATAGGCTCATTCTGAATGCGTAGCCTTATATACATTTCTGGAGATCGCAAATTATGTAGCCAGAAGTACGTTTGGCTGCATTTCCTCTTTAAAATGGACACTACGGGATGGTACGACAGCTTTCCTTTTCGTGCTTACCAGATAACTGCTTACCTTCATATGAACGGCTTTTCCGGTGTTACCAGTTTGCTCACCGTGTACGTTGGCAGACTTGAGATACCATATTAAAAATACCATATTGGTGGATGCTGCTCTCTGCTCTGCTGTAGGTGATCGCCGATGTTATTTTCAATATGAACACATTTCACATGCCATTATTTTGTATCACCGACAGCTCCAGATATTCAGCATGCCAAATATCTGACGAGTGTCGGCGACTCATTGGCGATTCTCTCAGGTCGTGTCTTTGATAGTTCACACTGTTTCATTGTTACTCAAGTGACGAACACCAATTTACCTGTGATTTCAGCCATTTGTCTGCAATTTCTCAAAATTGATTGGCAAGTCAAAATCGGGGCTAACTCATGCAGTCTGAACTTGGCATAAGATGATGATTTGATCAGTACAGAATAAGAGCTGAAGTGGTGTAAAAAATACCTTTACGATAGGCTCACAAATTTATTTGCCACTGTATTGACCTTACTCTTCAGGTATGAGCGGGCGCAGCAATTGAAATCGTTTAGGCTCGAGAGTTCTGGTTTCATTGATTTTTAATGTTATATGTTTTATTGTAAATACGGCTTGTTATGTTGCTTGATGTTGCTAAAGGATATTTACTTATTACAAAATTCTACTTTGTATGTCTACATATTCCTAAACACACTTGTTTGTAGAACAAGCAGTCTGACTGTTTTCTGTCATTTATTATTCTTAGCAACTGAAACAGTAGTTCTAAAACAATCGCAAAAATGGGTGCACTTTTGCCGCGCAGCATAAGGTCAATAGTAAATCTGACCCAGAAAAAACATAAATGTTCATTTATACATCAATAATTCACCTAAATGAACTTCTGTGTGTCTTTCAACAGTGGAAAATGACAGGGAGCTATCTCTACAAAGAAGACACCATAAAGAGTTCAAATTCAACCTGTCCCAGATCCCAGAGGGAGAGGCCATCACAGCTGCAGAATTCAGGATCTACAAGGAGTGTGTGACCAGTGCCTTCCGGAACGAGACATTCCTACTCAGTGTGTTCCAGGTGGTTGGGGAGCATCCAGACAGGTACAGAAGCATCTAAAATGTAAAAATACTATGATATAAACTCTTATATAATGTAAAACCTAACCACACTGTAAAACATGCCACAAAGTCGAATTGTGTTGGGACCGCATGATGGAATTAAGTTAGTTTATTAGAACATAAAACAATTACATTGTCCTGAACAAAATCTCAAGAATTGTGTTTATAAATATATATATATATATATATATATATATATATATATATATATATATATATATATATATATATATATATATATATATATATATATATATATATATATATAGTTTGAACAAGCAACAAAAATATTGGTTAAATAACTTCTTAAATTTTTTTTTACAAAACGTGCAAATCACAATTGTGAATTAATTTAGTCAAGTCTTGCCATGCAACATGCTATATTTCTCATTACTAATTCTCAGTAAAAGTGTTAAAACTCTGACAAAACATTTTACACAGCGTAATTAATATTTAACACTATTAAATGATATTCAGTCATTCTTTTTTTTTTCGTCTTAGTCCCTTTATTAATCTGAGGTCGCTACAGGGGAATGAACTTATCCAGCATATATTTTTATGCAGCAAATGCCCTTCCAGCTGCAACCCATAAATGGGAAACAGTCATACACACTCAATAACACACATACACTACGGCCAATTTAGCTTACCTAATTCACCTATAGCTCATGTCTTTGGATTGTGGGCGTAACCGGAGCAGCCTGAGGAAACCCACGCAAACGCAGGGAGAACATGCAAACTCCACACTGAAATGCTAACTGATACAGCCGAGACTCGAACCAGCAACCTTTTTGCTGTGAGACACTCATGCTACCCACTGCCCCACCGTATCGCCTATTCAATGACATTTTCAGTGATGGCAAATGGCAAATTCAGTTTATACCACTGTAGTTGAGGTCAAGAAAAATATTAATGATGCTGTTAGAAAACTTTCATAACAATTACATGTATAATGGCCTCATGACAATCATGGTTATGACAGATTTATGACAAGTTATGTTGTTGTCATGACAAAGATAAAAAAAAAGGTCATGATGTATTTGTTTATGTCGTAGCAAAGACATTTCAAACAATGTCATCTTTGCATATAAAATGACATAACAGAGCAAATAGCAGTCATAAGCTTTAATGAAATGTAATTTATATACACTCACTGGCCACGTTATGGTAAACCTTCCTACTGCTCATTAACGCAATTTTCTAATCAGTCAATAAGATGGCAGCAACTCAATGCATTTAGGCATGTAGACATGGTGAAGACGATCTGCTGCAGTTCAAACTGAGCATCAGAATGGGGAAGAAAGATGATTTAAGTCACTTTGAACGTGGTATGGTTGTTGGTGCCAGATGGGCTGTTCTGAGTATTTCAGAATATGCTGATCTACTGGGATTTCACTCATAAACATCTCTAGGGTTTACAGAGAATGGCCTGAAAACAGAGAAAATATCCAGTAAGCCGCATTTCTGTGGGCGCAAATGCCTTGTTGATGCCAGAGGTCAGAGAAGAAATGCCAAACTGGTTTGAGCTAATAGAAAGGCAACAGTAACTTAAACAACCACTCGTTACAACTGAGGTATGGAGAAGAGCATCTCTGAATGCACAACATGTCAAACCTTGAGGCAGATGGGCTACAGCAGCAGAAGACCACACCAGGTGCCTGTCAGCTAAGAACAGGAAACTGTGACTACAATTCACACAGGCTCACCAAAATTGCACAATGACAGATTGGAAAAACGTTGCCTGGTCTCGACTTTTGCTGGGACATTTAGATGGTAGGGTCAGAATTTGGAGTAAACAACATAAAAGCCTAAATCCATCCTGTCTTGTATCAATGGTTCAGGCTGGTGGTGGTGGTGTAATGGTGTGGGGGATATTTTCTTGGCACACTTTGGGCCCATTAGTACCAATTGAGCATCGTGTCAACGCCACAGCCTACTTGAGTATTGTCGCTGACCATGTTCATCCCTTTATGACCACAGTGTACCCATCTTCTGATGGCTATCTTCTTGAAGATGACACTCAAATGCACTTAAATGGCCTCCACATCCACCAAAACTCAATCCAATAGAGCACTTTTTGGATGTGGTGGATCAGGAGATTGGCATCATGCATGTGTAGCCGACAACTCTGCAGCAACTGCGTGAAGCTATCATCTCAATATGGACCAAAAATCTCTGAGGATTATTTCCTGTACCTTGCTAAATCTATGCCACGAAGGATTAAGGCAGATCTGAAGGCAAAAGGGGGTCCAACCCGGTGATAGTAAGGTGTACCTAATAAAGTGGCTGGTGAGTGTACAGGACACATGTCAAGTTATGATTACAAAGGTTTTATGACAGACTCATAAACACCCCCGTATAAAAGCACTTTGATTTATTTGACGATTTTGTTCGGTTCCATAAGTAGGACAACAATGACTTCACCTTTAAAACAATATTGCAAATAGTGCAGTTTAATGTATTGAGATTAGATGCAGATGTTATTATGTAATATTTATCATGTACATTAAACATAAATATACTTAAAAATTCCAATGCAAAGTCGCATTTGTAAAAATACTTATTTGTTAGCACTCATGGTTGATGTTTAAGCTGAGTAACAGACTGTGCCTTAAACTGAGCACAGTCATCTCTCACTGAACACAGCTAAGGCTGTCTACCATGTACTTATGTATGTAGACTAAAGCTTGACCACAACGCACAACTGAAATAGCTTTAGTTTGGCGTCTAAAAAAGAACCCACCAACACACGTCAAACATTGACTTTGTGGGTGGTGGGAGGGATATCTCCTTGAGAAAGACGGATGGCGTGACCGGTGAAGTGTCGAAAACACACTAACACCAACGATGTGCCACTTTGAGACATCTTTTTTAAAATATAACATGCGCTTTTGTATCAAAACAAAGGCTTGAGCCAAAAAATCTCTACATGTTTCTCTCCAAATGGTTGCTAATGTTTATCACGAAATGTTCATTTGGTGTACATCCTGAGTCAAACAATGGGCACACTGTTTTTCCACAAACCTGCAGTGGGAGTCCTTTATTTTTAGCTGTATCTTGAGATTATGTATCGCCAGTTATTGTATCACTGCACAAAAAATAGTTTACCTTGATTTAAATTATAGCATGCCTTGTGGCATTTTCCCAGCATGCCACTTTCTGTCTGCAAATCCCAAATGCTCTGTGGCTTGCAAAATGTATTTGCTTACAAACAGATTAATTTGCAAACTTGTCAAGTTCTAACAGCATAATTACTGTGTTTATGGTTTGTGATCTTTAAAAAAAAACACATTGGTTGGGGGGGGAACTGCGGTATGGCTAAGCAGATGCGCAAGATGGCTGAGAGAAACTTCTGAAGTGTGTAAGCCTTTAATCCATGAAGCGAAAAATAACTCGGTTATGGAGGTGGTGCAGAGGGGCTGTATATCTGGCTGAATTTAGCCCATGCGGCAAGACAGTTCAACCTTAAGCACCAGCAAAGTGAACCGCAAGTCAACAAGCTTCACATGGCCTTAAACATGTAGAAACAATAGCACGTAAGAGCACTTTTGCTAGTGATTTCCAACAACGTACATGTTCATTGTTTTCTCTGATCATCTACAGCCATTTAAGCACGGTTTTCAGGAGTGACAAACATGTTTAAATACGAGAATGAATTCAATAAACTCTCATTCTTTTCATCCCCAAGCTGTGTGTCCATACAGCCAAAATAGTAAGACATAATGTAATGAGAAAACCCTTTCATCTTTGGGGTCTGTGTAGCTCGATTAGATGAGCATCACAATATCTCTAATAGGAGATATACATTGTTAAAATGTGTACAGTCCGTGCACAAATTGTAAATCGTGTTCCAAAAAATAGTGTAGTATACAGTAGGTACCATCTAGTCAGGGCTCTCTCCAGGGACAGCATGCCAGACACGCTTTATAATCAATCATCAGTGTGAACTCTTGAAATGTTTACAGTACAGTACTAGAAACATGTCCATCCACAAACACTTATGTACTGTAATTACATACAAATGTTTTAGTTCTTTCAGTTGACTGATGAATGTTTGCTTTCATAGTGATTTTCATTCACTATGACTTTCATTCATCCATGCTTTCTATTTATAACACTGCCTAATTTAATTTTAGAACTTGAACCTTTAATATAAAGTCAGAATTATAAGACTTTTTTTTCAACGCACTTCTAAACATAATAGTTTTAATAACTCATTTCTAATAACTGATTTCTTTTATTTCTGCCATGGTGACAACATTTTATTTTTCAAGATACTGGTGTGTAATTTAAAGGCTTAAACTAGGCTATTTAGGCAAGTTAGGGTAATTTGGCAAGTCATTGTATAACAATGGTTTGTTTTATAAACAATTGAAAAATATATATTGCTTAAGAGGGCTAATAATATTGACCCTAAAATGTTTTAAAAAAAATTAAAACTGCTTTTATTCTAGCTGAAATAAAACTTTTATTTTTTAAACTTTTGGGGTATCAAGTGTAGAATTTATTTATGAAGTAATTTTGACAGGATGACATGCTCATGATTGACCACAGCTGGTCCCACATTAGCGTACATGTACAGTATCACCAATCAGACGATTCTGAAGTAACCATAAATAACCAGAATGTTTAAAGAATCACCCCTTCCACCCCTAGTCCTCCTCCTTCTTCCTAAATACAGTGCATCCGGAAAGTATTCATAGCGCTTCACTTTTTCCACATTTTTTTATTATTTTTTTGTTACAGCCTTTTTCCAAAATTGATTAAATTAATTTATTAATTTACACACAATATCCCATAATGACAATGTGAAAAAAGATTTTTTGAAATTGTTGCAAATTTTTTAAAAACAAAAAAAACCTGAAAAATCACGTTCATCAGTACTCACAGCCTTTGCTCAATACTTACATTTGGCAGCAATTACAGCCTTAATACTTAGTGAATCTGATACCACAAGCTTGGCACACCCGTCTTTGGCCATTCCTCTTTGCAGTACCTCTCAAGCTCTATCAGGTTGAATGGGAAGCGACGGTGTACAGCCATTTTCAGATCTCTCCAGCGATGTTCAATAGGATTTAGATCTGGGCTCTAGCTGGGCCACTCAAGGACATTCACCGAGTTGTTGTGAAGCCACTCCATTGATATTTTGACGGTGTGATGAACCGTTGCCCTAGTCTAAGGTCAAGAGCACTCTGAAGCAGGTTTTCATTCAGGATGTCTCTGTACATTGCTGCATTCATCTTTCCCCCTATCCTGACTAGTCTTCCAGTTCCTGCTGCTGAAAAACATCCCCATGCCACCTCCATGCTTTATTGTAGGGATGATATTAGTCTGGTGATGAACGATGCCTGGTTTTCCCCAAACGTAACGCCTGGCATTCACTCCAAAGAGTCTCCAAATTTAGTCTCATCAGACCAGAGAGTTTTTTTCTCATGGTCTGAGAGTTGCCTTTTGGGAAATTTCAGCCAGGGAGTGGCTTCCATCTGTCCATTTTACCATACAGGCCTAATTGGTGGATTGCTGCACAGATGGTTGTTCTCCTGTAAGCTTCTGACCACCGGCTTATTGATCACTTCTCTGACTAAGGCCCTTCCCCCTGATCACTCAGCTTAGATGGCCAACCAGCTGACATTCCACTTATGGATGATGGAGGCCACTGTGCTCATTGGAACTTTCAGAGCAGCAGAAATTTTTTTCTGTAATCTTCCGCAGCCTTGTGCCTCGAGAAAAGCCTGTCTCTGAAGTCTACAGACAATTCCTTTGTCTTCATGTTTGGTTTGTGCTTTGACATGCACTGTCAACCCTGGGCTCTTATATAGACAGGTGTATGCCTTTTCAAATCATGTCCAATCAACTCCTGAATTTACCACAGGTGAATCCAATTAAGCTGCTTAAACATCTCAAGGATGATCAGTGGAAACAGAATGTGCCTGAGCTTAATTTAGAGCTTCACGGCAAAGGCTGTGAATACTGATGTACATGTGATTTTTCAGGTTTTGTTTTTTATTTTTAATTAATTTGCAACAATTTCAAAGAATTATTTTTTCACATTGTCATTATGGGGTATCAAGTGTAGAATTTTGAGGAAATAAATGAATTTAATCCATTGAAATAAGGCTGTAACATAAAAAACTTAAAAAGTGAAGCACTATGAATACTTTCTGGATGCACTGTAGATTGGCATAGCAGCCCAGTGGTTAGCACTGTTGCCTCACAGCAAGAACGCCACTGGTTCAAGTCCTAATTAGCCAGTCAATGTTTCTGTGTGGAGTTTAAATGTTCTCCCTGTGTTTGCGTATATTTGTCATTACTTGTATTACTGTGCCATTAAATTAGACTGAAACCATTTTAATCAAAATCTGATCTGCATTTTTAAACTGCCAATTGTATTTATTTGTGAAATCCCAGAGTACATCATGTTCTGTTTCCCTGCCAATCCATCAGTACCTCATGAAAAATCCAGCTCGCCACGACTGTGGAGTTATGACTTTTCTGTTTGTATATGTTGTAATCCGTGGCTGTTTTCATGTACATCTGGCCTCCTTGGAAAACCCTCCCAAGCCATATGTGAAGACAGTCCTGTATGTATGCAATGGCAGCGGCCCTATAGGCCCATGTTAACAACAGCAGTCAAAGACAGCGGCAATAAATGCGATTTATGTAACCCCGAAAAATCCTGACACCTCCGACTTTATTATTCCAGTTAATTTAATGTGTCTATAAGAAGCTTTACAGTGGGGCTTTTAGAGTCGGCAGCTCCCCTGTGGTCTCATTCGTACCCCGTCCCAGGTGAAGCCGTGTGACTTGTGGCACTAAACAGAATGAGTCAGCATAAGTACGATGCGTTCATGTCGAATGTGACGTGTGAACCACCGGAGGGAAGAAACTCATATGGAGCTCCTTAGAGTGCAAGTCTAATTAATGAGCAATAACCAGGGGCTGCAGGGACATTCCCAGAACACCTGTGTGTCCGACAGCTTTGATGTGACCCGGCCAATGCTTATTACCATGCATAGTGTGTAATTATCATAATGGGACAGACTTCCCTGTAAGGCTATTGCCATCAGATTTCTGCCTCAGCTCGCAACTCAGCGGCTTAAAGCTCTTTTGAGTTTGACAAACTATATTTTTACACTGTTGGGATGACATGAAGGAATTAAGTTAACTTATTATTCATTCATTCATTTTCTTGTCGGCTTAGTCCCTTTATTAATCCGGGGTCGCCACAGCGGAATGAACCGCCAACTTATCCAGCAAGTTTTTACGCAGCCGCAACCCATCTCTGGGAAAGTTAACTTATTAGCTTTTACCAATTAAATTTAAGTGGATTGAACACAAAACAAGCTGTCCCACAAGAAAATAAATAAATAAATAAAAAAAAATCAAGAATTGTGTTGATTCAGCTCATTTTAAATGACTAGTTTGAACAAACAGCAAACATCATGTTTTAGTGTATTTATATGCTTCTTCTCACTATTTATTGCATATATTTATATTATAGGTGTAGTATAATGCAATACAATGCACTTGGGTCATGGATAGTTGTGTATTTGTAAGCGTTTTTTAACAGTTAATGATCTTCAGACTTACTGGTTTTCAGGGATGCCGACCTGTTTCTGCTGGAATCTCGCAGGTTGTGGGGAGCTGAGCAGGGTTGGCTGGAGTTTGACATTACAGCTACTAGTAATCTCTGGGTGATGAGTCCACATCATAACCTGGGTCTGCAGATCAGTGTGGAGACCAGCAGTGGTAAGATGAGTTCAACTTGGTACACATACAGTACACTCACAAATATATTAACAGACAGACAAGAACAGATAGATAGATAGATAGATAGATAGATAGACAGATAGATAGATAGATAGATAGATAGATAGATAGATAGATAGATAGATAGATAGATAGATAGATAGATAGATAGATAGATAGATAGATAGATAGCTAGATAGATAGATAGATAGATAGATAGATAGATAGATAGATAGATAGATAGATAGATAGATAATAGATAGATAGATAGATAGATAACTGGGTAGGTAGGCAGCCTGGGTTTCTTCAAGACGAAGATATTGGCTGCCTCCGAAACCACATACTTCCATACTATATAGTACGCTAAAATCAGTATGCGAGCCGAGTAGTATGTCATAGAATTCGAAAATCAGTATGCGAGAAGTACCCGGATGATTTACTACTTCCGGCGAGATTCTAGAGTGCGCATCCAATGCATGCTTAGCTATCCCATGATGCCCCGCGAGCGAATTCATGAATGGGAGTAAAGCGACGCAATTGACGCAGGTAGGTCACATGTCCATGACAAAATGGCGGATGTAGTTTGGCGAATTCCATTCATACTTTTCACATTCATACTGTATAGAACGTACTTTTCTAACGGCCGAGTAGTACGTTTAAATTCAAATGCAGTACCTACTGAGTAGTGGGCGGTTTCGGACGCAGCCTTTGAGATGAGAAAAGTCAGGTTAATTATAGTGAGTTAAGGATCGTCTGATAGGATAATTAGTCATTAGCTAAAGTTGGAACAGCTGTGAACAGGCATAAGCACGTGATCCTCTCCAAATTTGTTTATAACTAAACTTCACTTAAAGTATTGAGTCAAGTAATTTCAAAACATTGATTATTATTTTGCTTGTTTTAAGGACAAACTCACTCAATTTGAGCACATTATTTCTCAAACCAAACAATAAATTGTACTTGTCTAGAAAATGCTTCCTGATTTTAGAATTTTAGATATTTGGAATAAAAAAAGGATGCTTAAATAAGACAAACATAACCTCACATTGCATTTTTCCAGAGAGTCCTGCCTCAACCAGGCAAACACTTGTGAGATGATTTGTCTTTGTCTTGGTATTACAAAGTCTTCATTGTATTTGATGCCTGACTTGCTGCTTATACACATTGTTGCATGATCTAAAACAGGGGTGTCAAACTCCATTCCTGGAGGGCCGAAGCCCTGCACAGTTTAGTTCCAACCCTGCTCCAACACACTTACCTGTAGGTTTCAAACAAGCCTGAAGGACTCAAGTAGTTTGATCAGGTGTGTTTAATTAGGGTTGGAACTAAACTGTGCAGTTCCCTTTTGCAACTGAGTTTGACACCTGTGATCTAAAACAATGACATCCCATTTGTAATTCAGTACTTTCTTCTTTTTAAAGGACGGAGCATCAGTCCAAAGGATGCAGGGTTAGTAGGCCGTGATGGCGCTCTGGAGAGGCAGCCTTTCATGGTGGCCTTTTTCAAAGTGAGCGAAGTCCGTATCAGAACTTCCCGGTCTACAGGCAAACAACGCCAGCGGAACCGCAATCGCTCCAGTAGTCCACAGGAGGCATCAAAGGGACCGGCTCATACAGGTTAGACACTCATATTCTCATAATGTGTATGCACAGCAACTAAAGAGTGGTTGAGAGAGATTCATGCCCAGCAGCTGCAAATTTTTAGATAAATCTGTGGTCTTTGGTGATGCATATGGCAATGATAGGTTTTTTAGATTAAAAATGAATCCAAAACAATAGCCATGGCTCCTGTGGAACAATCGATTTGCGTAAAAAAACATTATTAACAGTATTACTAGCTTTAATCCACAGCCTGTTCAAACAGATATTGAAGCATGTGTGAATGCAGTCCAATTGTAGTCTGGTCTCTTTTGATGACAAAAGCAAGAGAGCGCATGGCTGTACAGGTGGGTCAAAGGATGCAGTTTGCTAATACTGTAGATATATTGAGGATTGTACTGTATAACCAGCCCTTGTAGTTTCATCATCAAAAGGGACACCCCAACATTAAATTCTATTGTAAAAACTGTCACCTACAGTTGCAATCGGAATTATTAGCCCCCCTTTGAATTTGTTTTCTTTTTTAAATATTGTTGTTTAACCAAATGATGTTTAACAGAGCAAGGGAATTTTAACAGTATGTCTGATCATCATTTTTCTTCAGGAGAAAGTCTTATCTGTTTTATTTTGGCTAGAATAAAAGCAGTTTTTATTTTTTCAAAAACATTTTAAGGACAAAATTATTTGCCCCTCTAAGCTTTATATTTTTTTCAATAGTGTTCAGAACAAATCATCATTATACAATAACGTGCCTTATTATCCTAACCTGCCTAGTTAACCTAGTTAAGCCTTTAAATGTCACGTTAAGCTGTATAGAGGTGTCTTGAAAAATATCTAGTAAAATATTATATACTGTCATCATGGCAAACATAAAATATTAGAAATTAGAAATTAGTTATTAAAACTGTTATGTTAAGAAATGAATGTGTTGAAATAATCTTCTCTCCGTTAAACAGAAATTGGGGAAAAAATAAACAGGGGGGCTAATAATTCAGGGGGGTTAATAATTCTTATTGCAACTGTACATGTATGATAAGCTATGGCTGAAAACTGAGGGTGAATAAATAAATAGGACATTTTCCATTTTCATTTTTGGGTGAACTATTCCTTTAAGAAAACACATGCAAACAGAAAAAAAGAAAAACACCAGCAAATTAACAGAAACATTGAATGAACCGCCAAACTTATCCAGAATATGTTTTATACAGTGGATGCCCTTGCAGCTGCAACCCATCACTGGGAAACATTCATACACACTCATTACACCCACATACACAACGGACTTCAATTGTGTATATATATATATTTATACATATTTATACACACACACAATTGGAATCAGAATTATTAGCCCCCCGAATTAGCCCCTTTTTACTTTCTTCTCCAATTTCTGTTTAATGAAGAGAAGACTTTTTAAACACTTTCCTAAACATAATAGTTTTAATAACTCATTTCTAATAACTGAATTATTTTATCTTTGTTATGATGACTGCGAAAAAAATCTAGAATTTTACGGTTCATTTCCGGCAGCTGGGGTGCCGGGAAAAAAAAAAGTAAAATAACGGCAGTTAAATTACAGAAATATACCAAAAAATAACATATATCAAATGACAAAAATTTCTTTTAATTTACATTTCTGGTAAATTGCTGTAATTTAATATTTCTTATTTTACTGTAAATTTCTGTAATTACAGAATTACAGGCACCCCAGATGCCAAAAATAAACCGTAAAATTAAGATTTTCTTTTACAGTGTATACACACACACACACACACACACACACACACACACACACACACACACACACACACACACATATATTTATATATATATATATATATATATATATATATATATATATATATATATATATATATATATATATATATATATAGGCCTAATACAGTATTTATGTCTTAATAAATAGCCTAGGCTACTACTATACATTGAATCCATTACCTAAACCTATATATTTTTGTTTTTCACAAGCTTTGGAGATGTAACGTAGATTCTCCTTTCCATAGATCACCTATAGCTTTCGTCATGAGGCATGGCTGTGTTCAAAATGGCATAAATGATTTGAAAGTGCACTACGAAGGCAGCACAATTGTTAATATGAAGATCACTAAAACTGAACTGTAAAATATACCTTGAAAGCAAATTGCACGTAAGAGAATTGACTTTAATGTTTTTTAATTTTAATCATTTCAAGTTTAAATGTTGGAACGTTCTAAATGAATAGGGCATAGGGGGATAACTGAGAATAGAACAAAACCAGGAACTATGAATCTAACTATGGCTCTCGAGGTTTAGTTGCTAATGTACAAGTTTGCAATGCAGTTTGCGAATGTTTGTTGGAACAGTTGGTTTGGGACATGCCACATATTTTCTTAAGTTGCAGCATCTAAGCCTCTTTTTCCATAAACAAGACAAAATTAATATGCACTTATGGCAGATATTAACCATCCAGTGTCTTCAATTTTTTGATTTTGTTTTGGGAAATGGTGACCCGGGATTGTTTGGGGATGTATATTTGATGAGTTTTATTGAGTCCAGATTTTTATATAGCCCATGCATAATGAGAATCTGGACTCAGTTAAGCTTTTTAAGATCTTTTTATGAATTCATTTAGGAAGCAGCACATATGTTATTCTTACATCCCATGTCTTTAGCTAGTTGTCACTGATGTGAACCTGAGATAAACTGAATAAATAAATTAATTTAATTTTACCCATTTTTAATACAGACCCTCCACTTTTAAGCATAAATCATACCATATGTGAGTGCAAACAGCTAAGCATGCTTGATTTTACACATTGTTGCGTTACAAAACAATTCAAGTGTCTTCTTTTTTTTTAGTCTTACTTAGATTTTTGCTAATATCAACAAGCGCAGCAGAAAAAAAAAACTACTATTTGCTATTAACATAATATGTTGTTTGCATTCGCAACGATGTGATTCTGGTTATGAGCAAAACTCAGATTTAGGGCAGGAAGTAAACACAGAATAGAAGACAGAGGAAAGTCCATTCTGTTGTGATTCAGACCATATTTCAAAAGAGATATAAATAGGAAATAACCACATATGTTGGACGTGATCCTTATTTTATGAAGAGGAGCGAGTTATCTACTAAATCTTAATGTTTTCCTGCCATTGAGGCGGTAGATATGAACTAGTATATACATGAAGAAATGCAACAGTAATCTATAGTAAATACTATTGTGTTTTTAACTATACTATTAAGTATCTGAAATAATCTGGTGGGGTAATTCTATAGTTGTTGTGGTAATACAATATATAGTTATAAAAAAATGACACAATGCTAAATTTTCTACAGCATATATTAGGAATGCTCCGGAAATTGGTATTGGCTGATAATCACATTTAATGAGTCGATATGACAAGGAATCGGTACTTGGCATCGACTACAAAAATCAGAGCATCCATAAAACATACTGTATATATATATATATATATATATATATATATATATATATATATATATATATATATATATATATATATATATATATATATATATGGCGTTTAAAAAATTTAAACTGATTTTAATCTAGCTGAAATAAAAAAAATAAGACTTTCTCTACAAGAAAAAATATTATAAGACATACTGTGAAAATTCCCTTGCTCTGTTAAACATAATTTGGGAAATATTTAAAAAAGACTTCAACTGTATATATATATATATATATATATATATATATATATATATATATATATATATATATATATATATTAGGGGTGTCAAAATGATTTGTTTCTTCGGTGCACAGACGCAGACAATTCGGTATTAGTTCAGTAATAGATTATAACCATTTATTGCATATTGAAGTCATTTATCTCATATACACTACGTTGCAGTAGCTTACTATGCTAAGCGGGGCAAGAACGAGTAATTAAAACACTGCACCTACTTAAAAACACTCATTTAGAAACTCTGCACAATAAACTGTGTGTGTGTTTGCTGGACAGTCTTTCACTGACACTGAAGTTACAGCAGAAGCCACTATTTCACTACGATTGAGAAAATCAAAGTAAACTCCATTTCTCTCTCTCTCTCACTTTGGCCTTTTTCTTGTGCTGTGAAGTAAAATATAAAACTTTGTATGGAAAGCATCGTCAATGCACCGAGAAATCGAATTATAATCGATTTGATAATCGTAACCGAACTAACCTGTGAGACCATTGCAGGTTCCTCTAATATATATATATATATATATATATATATATATATATGGGGTATCAGAAAAAAAAAAAAACATAAAAAATATACAGAAATTTACCATAAAATAATGAATATTAAATAAAAAAATTTCCTTAAATTTTAGTTTTGGTAAATTTCTGTAATTCAACCTATTTTACAGTAAATTTCAGCAATTTAAAGGTCTTTATTTTGCTTTTTTTTTTTTTTTCGCCACCCCAGCAGCATGAAATAAACCGTTTAATTACGGATTTACAGTGTGTGTGTATATATTAGAGGTGTGAACCTAGGTATATATACCTACAATACACACACACACACACACACACACACACACACAGAAATATGCACTATTTATTATAGTATATCAGTTCACAACATTTGATACTATAGCATGCTGTAGCATTCACTAACTAATTGTTTTACATACTATAATATATAAATAATGAATGTTACTGGTTCAAAAACACTCATATATCTGAACATTTAAGAATTTTTTTCATGCCACATTTTCCTTTTTTTTTTTTTGTCAGTTTCTTAAGCTTTTCTTATTTTTCCAATATAGTAAAGTCGTTTTAAAAATTCAAGCAGATGTGATAAATGAATTTAAATAGTTACCTTTCTAGTTTAAAAGGGAACAGTGCACACGGCATCTGTGACTTAATTCAGTGTCTGCTTCTCATTATTGCTGTGGTATGAAAGCTTAGTGCTAAAACCCACATAATCCAGAACTAATTGTCGATATGAGACCCCAAAACACAAATGACCTTGGGGTGAAAACTTTAGATTTATCAAAACA